ACACTGACAGACTGGGCTGAGACACTTACAGACTGGGCTATGCGAAAGTGGTAAGAGATTTCCTGGAATGGGCTCACAGCCAGAGGCCACAGGTGCTCTGTCCCCTGAAGAGAGACAATCATTAACAGAGCAGAGCAGAGTGCGGCCAAGATGCAGAGAAACAAACTCTCCTTGTCTGTCATTAATAGCAAATACTTCTTGCAGGTTGGGCACTCAGAGTACCTGTGTGAATCCCAGCACGCTGTTGCTCTCAGAGTGCGGAGTGTCTGCACACTGCTGCCCCCTGGTGGCTCCACACTGCAACACCAGCACAGCAGCACTGGAGCTGGAGAGGACATGTGAGAAGTTAAAATTTATATCTATATTATAATATATTATATAATTTATAATATCTTGTATAAAAATTATAGTGCTGAAAACTGTGAAAAAGACTTTCTACTCACCTCATGCGCAGTGAGATGTGTGAAAGAGAAGAACTGCCATTTCCACTGAGAGATACAGAGAAACTGTAGTGACCCGGCCTGTGACAGGAAACAGACATTATAGCACAGTCCAGCACAGAGCACTACAGCACAGTCCAGTATAGCACAGTCCTGCACAGAGCACTACAGCACAGTACAGTATAGCACAGTCCTACACAGAGCGCTACAGCACAGTACAGTATAGCACAGTCCTGCACAGAGCACTACAGCACAGTACAGTATAGCACAGTCCTGCACAGAGCACTACAGCACAGTACAGTCCAGCACAGAGCACTACAGCACAGTACAGTATAGCATAGTCCAGCACAGAGCACTACAGCACAGTACAGTGTAGCACAGTCCTGCACAGAGCACTACAGCACAGTCCAGCACAGTCCAGTATAGCACAGTCCTGCACAGAGCACTACAGCACAGTACATTATAGCACAGTCCAGCACAGTACAGTATAGCACAGTCCTACACAGAGCACTACAGCACAGTACAGTCCAGCACAGAGCACTACAGCACAGTACAGTATAGCACAGTCCAGCACAGAGCACTACAGCACAGTACAG